GAGAGTAATTTGCTATCATGTACGTAATAAGGAAGTCAGCAACCTGTGGCAAGAGCATTTCATAATTAAAGCTTGCATTTATTACAGAACCCTAAATTAAACACATGTGCTATAGTTTTTTATTTTACTATTTGCTGAATTCATACTGCATATTTCAAAATAAGTCATTTATTTTAGTATGTAATATCTTGATGTGAAATTCTGTGTTATAAAGGTTAACAGACTTCTTTTAGAATGAAAATATAAATTTTTTTCAATAGGAAAGCTATTTTAACTTGCAGTTTTAATATGAGTATACTTGAATTAATCTCAGATAAATTTTTTGAGGTGTTTATTTGTATAAAGCAGCACAGATTAAAGAAAGATTTTTATCTGTACTCTAAGTCTATGATTTTAGTAATAATCAAAGAGATATAAGGTGAATTAGAGAATTTATTGGTCAAATTCATGATGAAAATATTAGTTTCATTGGTTCTCCTGTTTCCACCTTTCAAGGGAGATCTGATTTTATCAGTGTGAAGACTATTATTTATTCACAAGTCCTGACTGGCCTATCCTCAGTGGATTTATATTTGAGAAGCAATTAGTTTACAACCTAGAACCTCCAAATGAAATTCTGAAAAGAGACAGTATTTTCCTACTTGTTACCTTAACTGTGCAAAGTATTCCTCAATTATTTCTGTTTTCCTGTCCATAACTATCTGGAAACTAGGTCATTGTTATTATTTTTGTGTTTTTTTTTTGACACCTCAACTTTTTATAATCTGAGATAGTATAATTCAAGTCAAACAAATTAGACTGTGTAAGAAAGCAAAACATTTAGAGAGAATAGGAAAAACAATTTATCCAAGTCTAATTTATTTTCAGCACATGTGTCTGAAGGCATAGATTCTTAAAATCTAATTTTCAAATGTGATAAATTTCAAGAAATAACATTTTTTTCCTAAGAAGGAATTGAATTCAAATTTACATGCATTTTACATTAATTGAATCTAAACGTTTCTCTTATGGCCACTTATTATGATATACTTGTGCCATACTGATGATAAAATTATAAAGGTGAATTTTATATGTGCCATTCCAAAAATATAAATTATGTGAATTTAAATATTTCCTTAACAATCATAGAATTCAGTATAACCCACTTTATTCACATTTCAAATCTGAAAGGTTATAATAATCTTTATTATCTTTAAAAAAAATAAAGTTTTTCTCATAAGACATTTCACTTTCAAAAACATCCTGACTTTGATAATAAGTAAAATGCCCATCATAAAGACCAGAAATGTTGGACTCTTGCTAATGTTGAAATTGATGTTTCATGAAAAATTGGGTGGACAATATTTATTTGATATTGCTCCAAAACATGGGAATAGAGGACATTAACTAGTAATTTATTCTAGCTATCTATAGGCAGGAAAAAAATATATAAAACAAAACTTTAAAGTATTCAGGCTTTAAATTTTCTTTTGTGTATATATACATATACATATATGACAAAAATTTTTATGTATACATACATATACATATATGATAAATAATTTCAACACTAATTAGCATTTGAGGCATGCGAAGTCTAAATATTTATTTATTATCATTGTTTTACACATAATGTGGCCTAACTTATTAAAGCATGATTCACTTTTAGTAGGATGTTGTAGTGATCTGAAGAAAATAAATCACTTGAGTCTGCATTTTAAAATCCTTCAAGGCAAGAAGAGTTCAGTGTTTAAAACAAATACTTCTAGGTAGGTTTGGGTGATATTGGCAGAACCTGTCAAAGGAGGTTTAATTGCTCATTAAGCAGCATACAAAATCTATTTTTAAATGCCCTTTCCTTTGATGACATGCTAATGTTTTATGTAAAAGCTAATAGCCATCATTGAAAGGACGGATTATCTGTTTGATAGACAATTACTATGGTACCATTAAAAGGACATAAAAAGGAATATGTAGCTTTTGCACTAAAAACTTTCCAAATGATGAGTCAGCATTTACAATTTACCTCCAGCTCTTGGGGTATTATAAGCCTCCATCCAGACCAGTAAAGTCTTCCTGCATTTCACAGCCACCAGTATAAACTACCAAACCTGTCCAGTCACTTATGTAGCATTTTTGACCACAAACATATCCATTCTTTCATTTATTTGATCATTCCAAACATGAGGCACCCCATGTCTCCTGGTATTATATTTTCACATGGAAGGAAGATAATGACTTTTGCCATCCAGGGTAACAAGGGGGAAAATATAATGTTTTATATCCATTCCACTTGACAATTGAAGTTTTAAAGTAAGTGCATTTCAAATATAAACACAATTGGCCAAACCTCAACATTATATGTAAAGAAATGTATGTTTAATAAGCAAGTGTATAATGAATATTCTATGGTACTCATAAATATGGATGAATATTGTCAATCAAAAATAATTATTTTTTTATTGGTTGTTCAAAACATTGCAAAGCTCATGACATATCATCTTTCATGCATTTGATTCAAGTGGGTTATGAACTCCCATTTTTACCCCAAATACAAGTTGCAGAATCACATCGGTTACACATCCACATTTTTACATAATGCCATATTAGTGACTGTTGTATTCTGCTACCTTTCCTATCCCCTACTATTAATAGAGAAAAATTTGTAATGTTTTGGGTTTTCTCTTCTCATGACATTCAAATGTAGATTTCTTTCAGTAATTCTAACCAAATTCTAAGTTCAAAGCGCAGACTCAAAATATAATAATTAGTGGTTGACTCCAACACAAACCAATATATTTAAGAAAAAAAAAACACACTGGTTAGTTCTTAAAGGCTTAAATAATTGGATACTGAATTTGGAAACAATGGCAACATGGAATTTGGAAACAGTAACCCATCACTTGGCAGTGAATATGAAAATAAATTGAAAAATTAATGATCTATTTAGTAAAATAATTCACTTTATTATTGATTAAATATTAAGATAAGCCTGTATAACTATATTATTTGGTTTCTTTACTCCTAATCAAAGTCAATAAAGTGCAGAAATGCTTCAGAGGGTGCTGATGAGAAGGTTAACAGAGCAATAGGAATATCTCCCTATGTTCGCAATGGACACCTTGATGTTGCATACTTTATTGGACTTGGCCTCCAGGGAGGTATAAAAAAGTGCTCAGTGGTGTTTCTATGACTCCATGTGCAGCCTGAATCCTGACTGGCACTTTCATAAGACGTCATGATCTATGCAAATTGACTAGAAGATTTGTGCATGGACCTCAAACAGGAGTGCACAAGATGTGTATGGCAGTTAGATAGTGCCTGCACTAAACCATGATTTGGGAGTCTCTTGGAAGCCACAGTTAAACTGCAGTGATACCATGTTATCAAAACTATAATATACTCAAAATAATCCCCTTGTAAGTGCACCATTCAACTCTGAACAACACCTGCTTTTTAAAATACTTCATGTTTTTCTCTTCTTCCTATGTCACCAGCCAAATCTGCTCTTTCTAATTTGCCAGCCACCCCATTTTGCTTAGCAGTGGAGTCAGCCTGGGTTCTTTTGAGCTCCTTAGCTGCTGCATTCTCTGCTAAAAGGATCTCAGTTATGACCTACATCATTGCCATATGTCAATGACTCACACACTGCTACAAACAGTCTTCATCACTCTGCTATGGAAATCTTCCTGGGATAAGGTGTGGCTGGCCTTTTTGCATCACACACTTTAAAACCCACCTTTTAATGTGCCCCCTATTTCTCCATGCAATTCATCATCATCAATCATTTACACTTTACATTTTCATAACACATCTTGTTGATTATAATCTTGCTTAAAATTAGCTATTTCTTGTTTGTGTACGGAATTAAAATATAATCCATGTTAGAAATTAATTTCTGTGTGTTCTTTCCAATTCTATTCTCAGTTTTACAGAAAAGCTCCTAGTACATGAGTATGTAAGATATGCTTGATGAGAAAGAAGGAGAAGTTAGAAGATGAAGGAGAAGAAGGAGAAGGTTGAGAGGAAAAAGGAGGCGAAGAGGAGCCAAGCAGGACAGAGAGGAAGAGAAGGCAAGGAACTCTTCCTTTGCTTAGCAAACAAAATTGAAGTATTTAAAATAATTTTTAATATCTAATAATAATTTGGATACATATTTCACAACTTGATTTGTTTACACACTAGTTAAAATACTTGTATTCTAAAGGATGTAGAAAGATATCTTTGAATTTCTACCTAGAATATTAAAATATAAGACATCAGAAAACTATATGAAAGAATATATATTTTTGGAATCATTGGATAATGAATCACATATTTAGGTAAAGCAGTTTTAAAACATGTTAGCATCATTTTAAATGATCATGATGGAATCATATTTGTCAAAGTTAAGTAAATTTTTTAATTAAATTATATTATTTATTGTGCTTTTAAAGTATTTTCACTGATTAAATTAAGGGAAAATCTTTGCATAAAACATAGCTTTTCCCCTACTAGAAAAACATTTCCAGTTTTCAAGGCAATAAATTCCTATATCTTATGGAAATCACCCTGTTCTTTATATTTCATATTTAAATCATTAGTAACAATAGCATTGGACTTTAAAAGAAACTTGAAATAGTTGCACAGGGGTTTTGTACCACTTTGCTTCATTTTTAGTCTTTACATTCCTTGGTTTTGATGTCAATATTAGCTCTTGTTTTATAAATTGGCTTTCTTTATTCTATATACATATCCTGCAGAATTTTATTAATTGCTCAAATAAACATGTTTGAACTTTTTTACTACTTTCCAGAATGAGACAAATTTAATAACACAGGTAATTTATTAATGCACAGTACCATTTAAAAAAAACATTTTTACCATAGACTAGTTTTTAAAAAAAAAATTTCACTTAAATATGTTCATATAAGGAAGCATTAATGTAATACTTAGATAATCCACTTCCAAAACATATGCTCAAAAATTTAAAATTTGTTGTCATTGTTAAAATATCTTTGATGTAAATTAATATGCAATACCTTCTGGAGACATCTCTGGGACAATGGCCTCATAAGGTTCATCTAGGAATTTTGGTTCATTGTCATTGATATCCGAAACTCTGATGACAAACTCAGACTCAGGCTCCACAGCCCTTCCAGTGGTGGTGTCTATTACCTGGGCTCTCAGAGTGTAGAGGGACCGTTCCTCTCTATCGAGCTTCTGTATGGCATATAGGTCACCTGTTCTGTTGTCAATGGTGAAAAGACTTCCAGCTCCATCTCCCCAAAGCTTGTATTGAAAAGAGTTGTTTCCATTGTCTAAGTCAGATCTTAGCTGTAAGTACAAACAGGTACAACTGAGTTTCCAGATAGGCTCAAAATGAAAAATCCATTTTAAGAGTTCATTTTCTTTTGTGCTAATCATTCCTTGAGTTAATAATTCTATTTAATTCCTATATTATTTTAATTCACATATTAATTTCAAATTTAATATCAACCATCAGAAAGAGAGTTAATTTTTTTAATATAAAGAAATACAGAAATTTGATTCTTCTACATAGACAATTCTAGTAATATATTATTACTGAAAAACAAAGCCTCTTTCATAAATTATTCACAACATAGTTGGTCCATGTTTGTTCTATGGTTACATCCTTGGTCACTAAAACCAAAGCCTGGAATATTTATATTTGGTTGGAACCTAGAGAAAATTTTACTTATATCTATGATCACAAATAATTATAACATTACAAGTTACATAATACTGATGAACTCAATCTTTTCTATGCAGAAGCAAAGACAGAAAATTTTAAAGAATTACCCAGAGTCTCAGGTTTCTGGGAAGTTTTATGATTTGGCACAGGACTGTGAATTCCAAGATTCACCCATGATGATAATTATATAACATGCTTTCAAATCTTTAATTTTAAGCTAGAAAATGCCCACTCTTTCTAACACATTTTACTTGATTTTTAAACATACACTTTTCTTCTTGTGCTTATTTTTTTATTTTGTGAAAAATTGCTCATTCATAGTTTTGATGAGTAATTTAGATTTTAAAATTTATATGTCAAAAGATGTCATTTTGATATTGATGTGGTTAAATTGGCTTTCTGGTTTATCATAATTAAATCTACATAAATAATTCTCCTTTTGTACATAAATGATGCCTTTGTTATTACAAATGTGTTTTCTTGATTCACCATTCATGAATATACTCTTCTTCAAAGGAAGACTTCCTATGAAAATACAAAGATAACCATGAAATGCCATCCTAAACCAATTAAAACTTGTCTGATGGCTGCAGTTAAAAGTTATTATTCCTCACTAACTCATAACTTTTCTACGCTATTGTGGAGAAATTCTAAACATACCCCAAATAACAATAATATAGTATTATTGTTGTTGTTGCTCTTATTGTTGTTGTTTTAATCTGTATTATCATTGCTACATACTTGAAGAAACAGATTTGGGAAAACTAACATCCAACTTAATGTTATGGTTATAGCTTTTTTAGTTTGATAGTCCTTAATTATTTATAAAGAGAAGAGATCTTCTATGTCATGAGGTTATGAAATTAAGAATAATTAATATATTTTCTAATGAATATGTCAAATGAGCAATGAATAGACCGTGTTTTTAAAATGATATCACTTCAATGTAGTTTTAAAATTTGTTCAATATTGAATGAAGGTAAATTAAATTCAGTAAAGAATAGGAGTATACCAAGCTTATTTAAATTATAAATTTCAAAGACCAAGGAGGTCAACATTTTTAAAGACACATTTTTTTTTCTTTTCTTTTTTTCTTTATTTTGGTACTGGGGATTGAACATAGCGGCACTCAATCACTGAGCCACATCCCCAGTCTTATTTTGTATTTTATTTAGAGACAGGGTTTCACTGAGTTGCTTTAGTGCCTCACTGTTACTAAGGCTTGCTTTGAACTCAAGATCCTCCTGCCTCAGCCTCTGGAGTGCTGGGATTACAGGCAAGTGCCAGCATACCTGCCCATAAAGAACAATTTTAAGTGGTAAATCATCAAAACTGTTTTACTGAACACTTGCCTCTAAATGTTACAAAATGCATGTGTTAAACTCATTTTGATCTCATGCACTATAGTACATATTTTGAAATTTACTATATTTTTATTTTAAAATATTTTCTCAATTAAGCAGCTGTTAAATATTTGACCAAACAATTTCACATTTTTTTTTTTTTACGTAACTGCCTTTCCAATTTTTATTTTTTTTAAATGAATGTATCAAAAAGCAGTTTTGTGGGACACATCTTACCAGCAGCTCTTCAGTTGCATACACCTAAACATCCCCCAAAGTTTCTTCCAAACCAGTTATCTCTGTGTAATGTGAATCATGAGATTGTTTAGAGGAAAAACAAGTATTTTCATGGATGTTTGTTATAGAAAGAAAAGAACAGGCAAAGACAATCATTCTGTGAGATGAGGAAACAAGAGGCTGGTGTAGGTGGCAGAAACAGAGTAGGAAATGTGACAGCCAAGGAGATAGTCTTTGTTCCTGTCACATTGGTACAGTTAAGTACCTTATTTAAGAAAAGCCACTGAACGGGATTTGCCTGTCACCCTCTTCAGTGACAGAAGAGTTTAAGTCATTCTGGAGATCACTCTAAATGGAGCTAGATAGACTCAGTTCATTAGCAGCCCCTTAGGATGGACCCTATTTGTGCCACAGGGCATGTGACTTACCTGCAGACATTGTGGAGAATTAAAAGGGTAAGGAGGACCCTGTGGGAGACAAACAGGGACACACGGGAGTGTTCTGAAGCCTGTTTGCCAAAGATCCTAATCTAAGCCTGTGGTTGAAGGTACTCCTGTGCCTGTGGCTGATAGGATAGAGGTACTTAGATGGAATCCAGATACCACACTAATGCTGAGGCTCCCCTGAATGGGCTAGAAGACAGTTAATGAATTTTGAGTGCTTCACCCTTTGGGCCCAATTAAATTTTAGTGCCAGTTAATTAGCGGTTAAACATTTCAGTTCATTCATCTAGAGAAAGAACTTATGGAAAAGGACATAATATTGTAATTATCTGTGTTTAAAGAAAACCAAATAATAATCAAAACCAAAAACATAAATTGGAGGTGTTCTGTCTCATTAAGGACATTTTCTTAAAATATATTCTTCTAAGAAGGTGAAAATAACTATCCTTTGCACTTCAACTTCACTAATCAAATGAAGTGTGTGGGCTTCTGACACTCCTTGGCTGCAAAAGGATACAGTGTTAAATTGCTTCATTAAAAAATGAAGGAGGAATAAATCAATAGCTATTTAGCATAACAGAAAAATCAGGCAAAAAAAATGTTGGTAGATGATATTTGACTCATTGAGTCTGCTTTGATTTATTACCAAAAATTGCACCACTGAATTTCTAGCTATTGATCAATGAGTAGCCTTTTCATGTAGGAGACTAGAGTGAAATTTGAACCCAGAACTCAAGTTTTTAGTGATGTTCAGGTGCTTGAAAATTCTAAATAATTAATAATGTTCATGTTTGAGGTTTTCTAGTGGTTCCACTGAGAAAAATGCAGAACTCAGCAACCACCAAAACCATGAACTGGAAGACTTTCAGAAAGTAAGTACCCGTCCAATGTGATAACTTCCATTCATTTCCTCTGGTACAAAGAATTGGTTCCACACCCAGCCTCGCTTCACTCTCCAATGAGAGTCTGCCCATTTTTCAGCCTTCTCTCTGCTAGAGTCTCCTGCCACTGCAAAGCCAGGCCAGAGGCAGGGGATCCCCAGCACACAAGGCAGCAGCCAGCAAACGTGCATTGCGATGTCTCCTTGGGTACCAGTGTCACTCTTCCAAGGACAGAGTGTGTAGCCCACAAAAATCCTGTGCTTCTTTATCGTCTTTTTTCTCTTAAATATCTTTTGTATCCCTAAAGCATAGAAACAAAACAAAATTTGTCATTTAAGAAATAACATTTTCTCACATAATTACTAAAGACAGGTTACAGACAGCTTTTGCATCTTTGAGAAATAAAATATACATTCAATTTATCCTTTGATTAAGCTAGTGAATTATATTTTATAGTCCAACAATAATCCGATTGCAATAATTATAAATTTCTACTCAAGGAACACTTGTTGTAAACTGCAATCACAAATCCGCCTGAAGGTTGAAAAGTTACTCTTAGCTATCTCCTTGACTGACAAGATGACATAGAGAGAGAGTTTTAAAATATTATTTAATTTACGTATGTCCTTCTAGCCATCTCAGCAAAATTCATACTATTCCCTTAAAGCAATCATCAAGTCATGAGTAAAAACCAAGGCATGTATTTATCATCTTTTCATGCAATATAAATATGATGTATCTTCCAGTTTTGAAAATTATGATGTTTTTATGTAGTTAATTAAATAGGCAAAGTAATAATTAAGCTTAAAACCCAAGAAATGTAATAATAAGTTAAACTATAAAACATCCAAACTAGAAAGCCTGTGCAGGATATTTACCCTTGTATATTTTGAAAGATTTGGTAAAATTATTTCTCTTTGAATACAAAAAAAAGACATTTTTTAGGATTAAGTACAAAATGTGATGCCAGGGTAAAATGGCTCATGGTTTATGATATGTATGATAGCTATGAAATGAAATAGTAAAATCAAAAACGCAGCCTACTGAGTTTTTCATTCAAAACCTATTGTTGAACGGAAGCTGATGTTACAAACTGTCTCTTTCATAATTGGTAATGCTCATCCTTATATGTAATTGAATAACTTCATATTTCCCTCCTCTATTTAGGATTCCGTCAAACTATATGGGGTTTCTTTCTTTAGCCACCAGGAAGGAAAATTTGGTGAGATCCACAGTAGCATTCACTTTCATGAACTCATCAGGAAAGCCATACATCCTGGCTTAGAAGTATTTCAGCATGATCTTGTTTTGAATATTCTGTAGGTGTTTTTTTAATGATTCCTGAGAGAGTTTGGGGTCTTTGGCTCTTGTTAGGAAAGGTTGTTAAAAAACACTTAATTAAGAAAGAACACAGGGATTCTATGTTCCCTCTGTAATCCCTTCAAGTGGATGTATTTTTTGTTACTTGTTTACTTAATGAAGGTCATGAAGAAATTCAGTTGAAATGAAAATTAAGGATGAATTTTATCCTTACATTGAATATTTTAAGTACTTAAAAAGTCTATTTTTTGAATATTAGTGAAAAATATATTTTGATAGCTAGTAAATAATCATTTGTAACAAATACAGTTTACTTAATAAAAAAGATATTTTGCATAAGTTTGGTAAACTATCACTCGGGATGATATGAAAGTATTTGTCTTATTTGACAAAGTGATATTTCTGTTAACATTATATTGTAACCTTCTCCTACAACTAAAAATAGAGAAAATAACATAATGAACCACTGTGCATCCCTGTACAGCTACAATAATTACCAGCACAGGGCCAACCTCATGTCGTGCATACATACACCACTTCCTCAGAGTAAAACAGATTTCTGATGTCACATCATCGTAACCACACCAGACACACTATACTTGAGCTTACGTGATACATGTGTATGTGTATGCACCTCTAAAAATCAAAATTGGATACTTAAAGCTAATATTAAGATTTCGACACAATCAAATATGCATGGAGTATTTAAATTAAAAATTTTCAAACATCTTTGAATCATATTTCAAATATATTCACACAATATGGTGTGCTGAGATATTTGTTATCTTGTTGTTACCTCAGTTTCCTCTTTCTATTTTTCATTTTCCTTTCCATTTATGTGATATAGTCTTTGGTCCCTATATTGTTCCTCACCTTCTGGATATTGCTAAATGTATTCCCATGTGTGATCAGATATAGTTCTTTATCTTCTGAATTCTCTATAAATTTCTAGTGACTTTCTTCAATACAATTTAAAATACTTGTTAAACATAATCATAACTCATGTTTTACATTTCTTATTGCATGACATCCAGTGGCTGAAATCGCCTAGAATTTTTTTTTTTTTCATATCTTGTTTTTACTGTAGTGGGAGATGTTTTTTTTTTTTCTATATATATGTATTAGCAGATGATATACACATCAGAGGAATCATTTGTTATAAATTTCATAGTAAACTTTCTCTTAAGGTTTTTGTTTTTAGTTTTTGATAACTATTGCCCAAATTGAATATTTCAGTAACCACAGTGTGAAACAATAAAGAAATATAAACTCTAAAAAAACTAAAAGTAATCCCCAAAATTTAATAATATGTTATTTGAAAAAAAAATTACAGGACGATTTTTATCAGAAGGTTGAATAGTGCAGAAGAAAATACCTTTGGTTATGAGGACAATTCAGTAGGAACAAATCAAACTAAATTACAGTGATAAAACTAACAGTACACAAATAATTTTTAAAAATAAAGAGGATTTCAATATCTTTTGGAACAATATCATGTGGCATAGCATATGTATAATTGGAATTGCAAGAAAAGAGTGATAGTGTCAAAAACATTTTTAAAATGGCCAATTATTTTTAAAATATGCCTTACATTATCACATTGAAAAAGAAAAAAAAATAATAACCTCAGTAAACACCAAGCCCCCCCCCAAATAGCAACAAAATCAACCCAATTCTGCTCTTGTAAAATACTAAAATTATATATGTAAATAAATCACTGTTGAAAACAGCAAACAATAATAATGTTTGTTAAATGTTCATCAGATCTGGGTGTGATAGCAGCCTGGGAGGCTGAAGCAGGAGTATCATGAATTCAAAGCCTGCTTTAGTAAAAGTGAGGCATTAAGCAACACAGTAAGACCCTATCTCTAAATAAAATACAAAATAGGGCTGGAGATGTGGCTTAGTGTCCTAGTGCCACTGAGTTCACTCTCTGGTACAAAAAAAAAAAAAAAAATCATCAGAAATAATATATGGTAAATGGAAGCAGAATGTCATGCCTGAAGTTCTCAGAAAATACACTCCAATTTATAATTATGCATCCCACACTATAAGAACAATATTAAGCAGAACTGCAAGACTTCACCAGCAGCACAACTTCATGACAAAAATAATGAGAAAATCTTCAGATGAAAGACAGATGCACAAAAGTAATGAATCATGTAGAAGTATTAAATATGAATGAAATTAAAGGGCATTTTGCTTATTTATTAATATATTTAGAAATTGATGTAATAACAACAACATATTATGGGATATATAACACATGAAGAAGGAAAATTTGTAATGATAGTGGCTCAGATGGTGAGATATGAGAAGTGGAAACACCTTCCCTTACAGATGGAATGACGCAGCAGGACTTCAAATGATGACCCTGATAAGTAAAGAACTCCAGTTCAAATCTCTGCAACAGCAAGATCTCACAAACAACAATGTACAAAAGGAATAATATGAACACAAATAAAGTCTTAGTATGACAGTATAAAAGTACATTTCACCAAACAGAAAAAGCAAACTCAAGATTATACAAACAAACACTACAAAATCAATCACTGTGATAGAAAGGAATCAGTGAAACCTGACAAAGAAAAGGAGAAGATTGTCACATAAAGTTTTAAAATTCAACTATGTACTATGCAGAAGGAAAGCACTTTGATTACAAATACACAAGAAATTCATCAGCAGGATGATAAGGAGAGACAGTATAAGAATCATGCCTTAAGATATTGGAAATAGCCGTAAAAGTACTTTGAAGTAAAAACCCATGACCATAAATATTACCTGAATAAGAAGGGACATTTACTAAAGATAAAATAGATACATTCATCCAGTTTTAAGTATGAGTCTTCTTATTACAGAGCTTAAAAATACATGAAGCAAACCTTATCAGGGTTAACAAAAAGCAGACACAGTCACTTTCGAGGAGGATGGTGGATTATTTACCACTATTCTCCTTTATTGAAATGCCAAGAGGACAAAAAGATCATGAAGTACATGAAAGATTTAAGAAGTGAGCCAACTAGCTTCAAGGAATGAAGCCATTGTAGAGAGCCGCACCAACAGAATACAGATGTTTTACAAGGACACATGATAGATTTTTAATGGAAGAATATACACTGGGCCATTAAAAACCTTTTTCAATCATTTTCAAAGGTTTCCTTACTACAAAGTACACTCTTTAATGGCAATAAATAAAGTATAAATCAATAACAAAATTATATCGGGAAATAGCTATGCATTAACAAAATTAAAAGTATAGTATCCTTATATAACCAAATTAAGAAATCAGCAAGAGAAGATTGAAGCAATCTCTAGAAACCAGAAAAAGAAACAGTGAGCTTGAGAATAGAAATAAATAAAGTAGGAATGTTAATGACACAAGGAAAATTAACAATACCCGAAGGTGCTTCTTTTAAAATATCAATAAAATTTATGACTAATTAGTCAGAATGATAAGGGAAAAATGAAGGGGCCTAAATTAGCAACTAGAATGAGAGAGAGGATGGTAATGTATCTTCTACAAATTTAGAAGGGGAATGAGAATAACACTGTGAAAGTGTTTAAGACAATAACTTTGACAACTTTTATCAAAAAAATGAAATAAAAATTATTCAACTGACATAAAGAATAGAAAATTGGAGCTGTTCAATAGATATTAAATGTATATTCTATAATGTACATTTTCCTGCAAGGAAAAACATAGATCCAGGTACATTGGAATGCAACAGTTAAGGAAGAAATACTACTAATCTTAGATAACTTTCTTCCAGAAAATACAAGTGGACATTTCCCTACTTATTATAATGAGGCAAATATGATATGATTATCAAAACAAACAAAAACACAATATGCATTTAACTACCAATTGGCCTCGTGGATATAAATGAAAAATCCTAAACATAATAATAATTATGTAAATAATAAATAATCCAAACTATTTTTTAAAAGGAAATGTATCAGAAAAAAAAAAATTTATCATTTCTAGAAGAATAAAAAGGATTCTGGCTCAGATATTGATCAGCATAATTTTCTCTATTTACAGAATGCAAAGGGGAAACCTTGCATAATCTCAGTAGACACCAGAAGCAGCTGTTTAATGGCAGTACCCATATATGTAATACCAACTCATGATGGTAGAAAGCAAAAAGATCTCTAGTACTCCAACAAAGGACAATTACATAAAATCTACACCCACCATCTTAGTTTAAATTATAAAATGAACATTCTCCCACTAACATCAAAAACATTACAAGGATGGGGGCCCAATGCACTTCTATTCTTACACACTCTATTCTACACTTTTGTAGCAAGTGCCATAAAGAAGGAAAAGAAATAAGTGAAAAACAAAAAGGAAAATATCTTCAATTAAGAACAATTTCTGCAAAAGAAAAATGGGATGTATTGAGATGATAGCAATATAATGGGAAATGAATCCTTAAGTGTTGTGAAACAGGAACAATGAAGAAAACACAAATGTCACACAGTCACTATGCAACAGTTATATTTTTACATTCTAGAATCACACTATTAAACTGTGAAATAAAAATGCCTTAGACAAACCTTTTGAAAAACACTTTCATGATAATAAATTATGGGCAAGATCTTTATACATAAAATAGAAAATACTGTTGAAAAAATAAGAATTAAGAGAATAGAAGTATTGCTCAATAATTAGCAGACCAAATTTTATTGTGATATAATTTTTGTAGTGTGTTCAGGTTTGTCATTTTTTACTAAGACAGAGACATAAGGGCTATATTTTTTTTTTTTTTGTTCAAACAATTTAAAACACACAAATAAATAAATACATGCAACAGTGCTTCTCAAGGTATTATTTTTCACTCATTGAAGGATAGTAATCTATGAAAGACAAGAAACAGAAGCAACAAGTCCTAAAATTTCCCCAAATTACTGAATGCATAGGAGTCCAAGCAGCAATTTTGAAGGGTAGAGAAGCCAGAGAGAAGCTTACATTCTGAGTTGAGGAGGGCTGGAAGCATGGTACCATGGTAGCTATAGGTCATAGGGGACACCACTGAAGATGAGAGAGTTGTATGATTAGAGAACTTTGGCAATCCATAGAGTATCTCCATTGCATATTTAGTAGATTAATGTTAAATTATGTACGTGAAAAAACTACATCTTCCCATGGAAGGATCCACCTGAAATCATTGGGGGAGTAGTCCTTTAAGTCTGTAATCAACAGTGAAAGTGAGACGCCTCATGGTTCATGGGTACAGGTGGGGTACTCAGTATTTTTTCCTAGGCAATAGGAAAAAACTGTTCTAGATAAACACTGGTCTGCTTTTCTCCAGGAAATCTTAAAAGCAAGACCATAAAGGTCAGCATTTCCAGCTAAATTAAAAACATCTCTGAACAGAGTTCAAAAATATGCATAGGAAAATAAAGCCTTCAACAAAAAAACAAGGTAAAATTTCGAGTCTGACATCCAGTCAAATGGCCATGCCTATAGAGAAGAAGGAAAGCATGTCCAAGGAGATTTGTCCCAATCAATTAAATCAACCTAGAAACCAATCATGGTATATCCATAAAGTGTAATACTCAATATCAAAAACAAATAAACAAGTGATGTACACAGAAACTGAACATTGACATTAAGTGGAAGAAAAAATTAACTCAGATTGTATGTTTCCATTTATGCATATAAATTTTTATAAAGTTAAAACCAATCGCAGTGAAAGAAATGAGCCTAGTACTTGAGGCTGGGAGAAAGAGTGAAAGGAACGGATTTCCAATGGACCCCATGAACTCTAGAGAGTGTGGATGGCTATGTTCATTACCTTTATTGTGCTGATAAAAAAAAAAAAAATCTCAAAAAAAACCACCCCAGCAACAATTGATTTTGAATACATACAATTTATTGTGCCAGTTTTACCACATTATTACACTTAATTTTTTTATTTGTCAATCTCAGAAGAAGAAATTAGATGATTTGTGCCAAAATGATATTTGTGCCAAAATTCTGATATGTTACATTTTGACATAACGGACACATTCTTAAAAGTATTTTTGTCAAAAATTGAAAGATAATTTCCAGGAATTTACCAAAAATAAAGTTAACTAAACCAAATGAAATGATGAAATGTATCTAAATTGTTAGTTTCTCTGGAGATCATTTACCCACAGTGTGATTTGTGCAATACCAGCTGGTTGTGAAGCTTGTGTGAGCTCCAGCATCTCCAGATACAGGGACATCAAGTCAGCATTTTGTCACACTACCCTTGAGGTCTGTGCATGACAGGAGTTCTGAACAGCACTGGCACCAGGAAAAGGATCCAGGTCCTTCAGTACGTCACTGGTTTCAGAAGAACAAAATAAAAGTAAAGAGATAAGGAATATACTGTTCTAGATTAAAAGAAATTCAAGAAACACAAAACCCAGTGGTATAAAATGAGGAAACTGGATCATGATTTGTGCTAATATAATTTTATACTTAGGTTTTTAGGATGAATGGAAATTTAATATGTGTACAGTACTATATTAGGTGATAATCAGGATATGCTGTTAATGTGAATGATTGGAACTTTCTTTGTAATTGTATAGAATCATGCCATAGTTTTGGTACTATATAATTCATATCTTGGTGCATATTGGTTTTGGAAAAAACAGGATGCCTAACTTCTAAATTTTTTAAATTAAATACTTTAAATTTAAATATTTTAAATTTTTAAAAAATATTCAAGAATAAAATCGGAAGATAGGTAAATAACCATGGTAAAAACGTGATAACAATTATTCCAATGGGGTCATGAGAATTTGGATAGTTTATTAATTTATTTTTTCAATTGCTTTTAAAATAAATAAATATATATATATATATATATATATATATATATATATATATATATAACCAATAATAAAAATAGAAAGTTTCATTTTAACATTAATATAGTAGTCTGAAATCAATAGTTATTTTAAGAGCAGCTATTAATGAAAATATACAGAAACAGGAATATTCCATAATACTCATAAAAATAAAAATTTGGATAAGCATTTTGGAGAATAATTTGGCCAAGCAATATTTTAAAGTGTTTAATAGAAGTTATATTTTACAGTTCCATACCTAAAGAAATGTTCAAAATTGTCTGCTGGTAGAAAAATACAAATCGGGTAAATTTAGGAAAAAAAATGAAAAATAATGTTGAAGTTAGGATTATGTATGATATTCATTATGTAAGTATTTTTTCTAAATTTCAAGGCAATACTCTTTCATACTGTTAATATGAAGAAATTCTGTATAATTCTAAGTTTGATAATATTCACATGAACCACAATATTTATTATGTAACTACTATAATAGTAGGAAGTTATGTTGTTTTAATGGTTGAAATTTAGAACCATTTTACATTTTCTTTTCTCTCCAACAATCAAAAATGGGAGTTCAAAACCCACTTGAATCAAATGTATGAAAGATAATATGTCATGAGCTTTGTAATGTTTTGAACAACCAATTAAAGAAAAAAAGAAGAAGAAGACATTTGACCAAGGCAAAAAAAAAAAAAAAAAGTAAATATTTCAGATATAATGATGCTCACTAGATGTGAATTGTCTCTCTCCTAGATGATACACATTTTTAAAATTAAGTTCATATTTGAAATATTCAATAGCTAAATTTAAAATTAACAGCTAACATATCACTTTATAATTTTACATAATAAAAAGCAGATCTGAAAACTGTTCACTGTACTTTCAAATATATATTAATAATGTAAAAAAAACAAATGAAATGGAAGCAATAGTTATATCTGAATTATGAAATACTGTGGTTTTGTTTATATGCTTATATATTTGAAATTTTCTATAATGGTCATGTATTTCAGGGTAAGGAAAAAATACCTTTTCAAATAATGGTGCACTTTTGATTGAAGACTGATGATAGCTGTCAGCTGTGCAAGACTGAGAAACTTTCTGAGCTGAGTCTAGGCATACAAGGAAAAATGCTAACAATTAGTTATATTTGAAATGGGCTCAAGAGAAACCAGTGGTGGCATTTCTGCCTTGCATTTGCAATCCTGGTTATATTTTCCAATCAGGTGAATACATTAATAAAATCTTCATAATACTTCAATATGGAAGAAACATGCTAATACTGTATCTCATATTAGTGTGGTTTGATTTATTCTCTTATTGCTACTATGTAGGCACATTAATGAATATTTATCATGTTGTACAGTAGAGTACATTTCAACATATATAATGCATATAAATAGCATGAAACTTACAAGGCACAATAATAGATAACTACTATTACCACCTTAATACTATTGGAATAACACTTAACCTAAGCATCATCAAAATACTATCTCCAAAGAGAATCATATGAATTTAGTTTTGAAAGTTTATTTAATATAATATATTACATCACACAGGAAAGGATTTATATTCAGATGTGACCTGCCAAATATCAAATATTTCTTTGAATGTAGAAAAGGGACTGAAAACCTCACTGCATTTTACTGAACAGGAGGTAGGAAATGCTCAGACAGGTAGCATTGTGACATCTGACACTGACGTGTCCCCTTGTTTACATTGAACCAAGATCTATACACTGAATTTTAACCTTTGGGCCATTCTTGAAACCAGACATAGTAAAATGCTTCCTATTATCCTCTTCCAGACACCTTCTATTCCCCCACGTTGTTCTGAGGTTTTCAGGTTTAAAAAAAAAAAAAGTGGTAAGAATAAGTCAAAATGATGGATTTGGTGGCTGGTGGGAGAAGATAAAAGTTGAAGCTGCAAAAAGTGGATGGGATAAATATAGAAACGTAATCCTATTTGTGATCTCTTAAAAATCAAGGGAAACTTGGCAGCCTCTTAGAATGACGCTAGGCATAAAGTCTTCGAAATGGCTTTCTCAGAAGGAAATTTAGAAAGAAATGTGTGTGGAAATACCTTGCATACATAAGTGCAAAAGAGGCAATATTTCTGGGCCAAAGATTGTTAATAAATGGCATGCCAACTCCTTCTCCAAAAGCATTCACTCCAGAGAGCTGGAATATGAATGATCTTTCTCTGTCCCATTTCTGAACTCTTGTGAAGCATATGTTTTGCATATTTACTGTCACAAAGAAGCCCTTGGCTGCAGATAAAGTAATACAGAATCATATGTCCTCATAAGACCCTGCATATATTCTCATCAGACGCCCTCTTTGACTTTGCAGAGGCTTCCCATTGACCATTTGTGTGATGCCCTAAGACAGCTAAACCACTTCCCCCACATAATAGTTGTATGACCTTGAGCGAATGGTTTGACCTCTACTGTCTCAGTTGCCTCATGTGAAGACTGATGATAATAATTGTGCTCATCCCCCAGAATCATGTTTTTTATAAAAAGATTTGCTGCACATAGAATTTTGCCTGAAGTGATATGTTAAGTGTTGTTAACAAACTACATAAAGATAGCTAATGATAGGCTATCTTTGGTAAAGATCAGATGTTTTCTATATTTCTCAACTTTGAAATATTCAGCTATTTTTAATCTCTCCAAACAATACACATATACAATATCTTTATAAATGTCTATTGCAACTATAGTCTAGGCCTCTTGAATGTCATTTTTTCTAAGTATGGCTAAGTGACTATGACAAATAAACATTGTCATGCTTGAAGCAATACATGATATTGCGTGGACATATATAAGCTGAAAATGATCCCAGTGTGACTCAGAACAATTATGTTTTCAAAGAAGACTAATTATGACTTTAGGGATGGAAAATATTATAATCTATGCACTTATACAGTTTGAAACTGAATCTAATTAGAAATTGTCTTTTCTATGACCTCTTCTTGGTTACATAAAGATAATTATTCCATCTGTGAAAACTTATAAAAAATATAATGTATTCTGGAAGGCAATGTGGAAAGCTGAAATACTGAATGTCACTAAGCTCAGCTTCTCATAGAGAAAAGCAGATGGCAATTAATGTAATGGCCCCATCTTTTGAAAACTATTGACTATGCTTGGCCAAAATGATACACCATAAGACATAATATGTGACGATCTGGAAGTCCCAAAGCTTAAAAAAGAACTAAGAAAGTCTCTTAAAGTTTTCTAAAATACTGCAAAAATAGGATAAAAAGTTTTGCTACATCAGTTTAAAGAACATATAAGTTTTTTTTTTTTTTATATCATGATCTAAATGTGTGAAGCAAGGAAATACTACTATAAGACCTATGTGAAGCACACAGTATAAGGGGATCTTTTGGAAATAGCAACAGACTTCACTTTAATCTCTTCTGATTTCAAGGATTCCTTATAAAAAGCAAGAATGAATGCTTTGAAGTATCTAATTTCAGTTCCCCTTTATTTCATAAGCACATATAATATAAATACATTGCAGAGCAACAATGTGGAAACGTGGTGGCAGTTTTCTGACTGTATCTCAAAGTCTGTTTTGTCTTGATATACATGCATACCTCTTGGCTTATCATGTCCATCTACCCTCCTTCTACCCTTGCCCGCCTCCCTCCGAACCCTTCTTAATCCCTGATTTTCCTCTACTACTTAGAGGTTGCCTTTGTTGTACTTATTGTTAGTTTCCACATATGAGAGAACACGCAATACTTGTTTTTGTGTTTTGCTCCTTTCACTGAGCATGCTGTCCTCTAGTTCCATTTATTTTTCTGAAAATGACAGGACTTCATTCTGGATGAATGCTACTACATTGGATATATGCACCATTTGGAGCAGCTAGGCTGACTCCATATCTTAGCTGTGTGAATGTTATCACAGTAAACATGGGTATGCATTTATCTTTTATATATCGTGACTTCATTTCCTTTGAACATATTTCCAGGAGTGAGAAGCTCGATTACATGGTAGTTCTACTTTTAGTTTTGTGAGGAATCTCCACACTATTTCCACAGCGACCGTACTGATTGACTCCCAACAATCAGCAAATGTTCCTTTTTCTCCACATCCCGACCAACCAACATCTGTGATTTTTTTTTTTAAAAACAGACATTCTTATTTGGGTGAGATGGCATGTCATTTTACTGTTAACTTTCATTTTCCTGATGACGAATGATGTTGAACATTTTTTCTTATATTTATTAGTCATTGGTATTTTTTTTTTTTTTTGAAAAGTGTCTAGTCAGATCATTTGCCCATTTGAAAAATTGGATTACTGGGGGCCCTTGGAATCTATTACTGATTTGTGTGTGTGTGTGTGTGTGTGTGAGAGAGAAAGAGAGTGTTATGTGTATGTGTGATCTTTACATATTCTAGAAATTAACTTTTTGTTAGATGAATAGCTGGTGAAGATGTTCTCTCATTCTGTCTCATTCTGTAGGTTGTTTCTACACTCTGTCGAATGTTTCCTTTGCTGTGCAGAGCTTTTTAGATTGATATACTCTCTTTTGTCAATTCTTGCTTTTAATTTTTGTTGTTGTTGTTGTTTGTTTTTTGTACTTTGGAGTCATAACCAGAAACTCATTGCCTGTACCAATACTTTAAAATGTTTCTGAGTGTCTTCCTCTAGTAGTTTCAATATTTGAAGTCTAACATTAAGTTCTTTGTTCCATATTGAGGTGATCTTTATACAGTTTGAGAGATAGAAGTCAGCTTTTAATTTTATGCATGTGTATATTTTATTTATCCAGCACCATTTTTAAAAAAGGCTTTTCATTATTCAATGTATGTTTTTGGCAACTTTGTCCAGAATCACTTGTCTGCAGAGTGGATATGTTTTTCAGTTCTCCATTCTGTTTTATTTGTCCGTATTTATGTTTTAATGTCAATGCCAAGTTGTTGTTATTTTTTTACAATGGCTCTACAGTATATCTGAAATCAAGTATTATAGTTAGTGCCTCAAGTGTTCTTTTTTGCACAAAATTGCTTGGGCTATTAGGAATCTTTTGCAATTGCATATAAATTTAGAATTGCTTTGTTTAGGTCTGTAAAATATTGGTCTTTTGATCGAGATTTGTTAAATATGTAGATTTATTTGAGTAGTAGGAGTATTTTAATAATGTTATTTCTTCTAGTCTATGATCATGGTCTTCTTTGGTTTTTTTCTTCAGTGTTTTATAATTTCCATTGTAGAGATCACAATAAATTCATTAGTAATTTATAGAAAAGCTATTGATTTTTGCATGCTCATTTTGTATTCTGCTACTTTACTAAATATTTTTTTAATCAGCTTTAATAGTGTTTTGGTGAAGTCTTTATTGTGTTGATTTCTGATCTTTCTATATATAATTTGTTCTGTGATTTTGTTTTTCATGAAGAGATGTTAGATTTTACCAAGTATTTTTTCTGCATCTATTGATATGATCATGTGATACCAAGAAGATATGTTGAAACATGAATAAAACAATAGTAAGTAATCAGATTGACTTGGTAATGAGAAGATTCTCAGCAAAGAAATATCCAGGACTAAACAGCTTCACTCCTTAATTTTATCAAATCTTTCAAGAAGAACTAATGTCAATGTTTCTAAATTGTTTCATAGAATTGAAACCCCTTGACCCATCCTATGAGGCCAGCATCACCCTGCTACAAAAACCTGATAGGAACACAACAACAACAAAATGAAAAGAAACTGAAGTTCCATGACCTTCTCTGATGAATATCAATGTCAGCATCCTCAACAAAATAAAATTGAAATCAACAGCACATCAAAAAGATCACACACCATTATCAATATGGTTCCAGGGATGTAAAGATGATTCAACACACATAAATCAATAGACACGTGGACATATTTAAAACCTTGTCTTTGTACCTAAACATAGATAGAATGCTGTTAATAATAGAAAAACAGGTAAAGAAAAATAAATCCCCTTGAGGAAGTGTTCTGGCCGAAATATCTTTTGGAATCTGTGTTACCTACTGTATTATTTCTTATTTCAATACCTATCTTATTTAATTCACATAGGTTTTTATTTTACATTATCATTGTATTATGAACTACTTAAT